GATACAATTGATTGGGCCAAAGGTCGTTTGACATAGATGAATGATTGGGCCAAAGGCCATTGGATACGAATGGTTGGGCCAAAGGCCGTTTGATATACATGAATGAATTGGGCCCGAAGCCGTTTGTTAAGGAACGAAGTGGGCCAAAGGCCATTCGATACGTTCGGGCTTAAATCCCCTAATGTACCAAAATAATGTACTGAATAGAATTCTACATGGGCCCAAGGCCGTTCGATATATGTGATTCTCATTTGCGTACCTTCATTATTTGATATTATTCATTGGGCTTTCGCTCACACTCATTCATGTGTATGTAGGTGAGCAAAGAGATATCCAAACCCAGCCCCGGTGAAGTCTGTGAGAAAGGTCAAGTTTTGAAGAGTCAGCCCAAACGTCTCACGCACGAGACTTGTCTTCGCCTCTTTTGTCCTTTTGTTATAATTTGTTATGATGGCGAAAACACTGGCTCACTTTTGTATATAAACTTTGGGTTTGACTGACTTAGACTTGAATGATCCTGTACGTATGGAACTATGAATTATTTTCCTTTCTGATGTGAGTTATTAATGAACATATGCGAAGTGTTATGATGTGCCACGTAAGCACAGCTCTGTGGACAAAATTTTTAAGTTGCTTCCGTTTAACCCCTTAACTCTGATAGAGTAAATTTATTTAGTTGGTTTGAGGCCGCAGGTAATCTCTTGATTATTGGCCGGTTATGATCTTAACCCATAGGGGCGGGTTCGGGTCATGACACAGTGGCTTTGTTTGGTTTGTGTTCCTCAAAAAATTTTGAGAAAAATTCTCTACAAATAAATTTTCAAAAGTAATCAAACCAAACAAATTTTTTCAAAATTTTTTTCCAAAACTTGTTTGGTTTACAAATTTTCCAAACAAATCTCTCTCATACATATCAAATCAATCACTTTTTCCAAAACTCTCTCTCAAAATAATTTTTCAAAACATCTTTTGAAAAAAAACCAAACCAAACAAATTTTCGTACTTTTTATCTCAAAACATATTTCTCAAATACAAACCAAACAAGGCCAGTGTATCCCCCAAAGATGTCCTTAGCCTTTTCGATAAGACCTTCCCTAAAATCTTGTAGAGTGATGTAACCAAACTGATGGGCCTAAAATCTCCAACTCTTACAACATTCACTTTCTTAGGAATTAAACAGATAAATGTAGCATTTGAGCTCAAATTAACAATCCCCGACTCATAAAATTCTATAAAAACTCCCAACAAACCCCCTTTCACCACCTTCCAACAGTCTTGAAAAAGGCCATGGAAAAGCCATTTGGACCTGGAACTGGCTTTTTCACAATCAAAGACTGCCTCTCAGATTTTCATTTCATCAAATGGCCTTTCAAGCCACGTTGCACTTACCTGATCAATGGGTCCCCACTCAAGTCCTACAATTCCCGGTCGAGTCACCGGGAGGGTGGCGCGGGGGGGGTTGGATGAGTCATTAAGAAGAGAAAGGACCGAGTTAAGATTGAAATTGGAAGATTCGATTTTAGAGAGCAAATTTTTTGGGTTCAAAAGGCAAAAAGGTAACCATCCAGCCGTTGGATTGATCCACAATTTCATCCCCGTGCTGCACAATACCAGTAACTTACAGAAATATATTACAGAGAGCGGAAGCTTCTCCAAACAAGTTGCTACAGGAGGAGCTTGACAAACTCAGGCTTAAAAATTCATGATGGCCTCAACATCCAAGACAAGGACGGTGACCCTGCCACGAGTTACCAACCAACCACGGCCAACAACAGCAACACCTGGAGCACCACTGTTTGAAGATCAGATCAGAGAATATCGTCAAGACCAGCGACGAAATTATGTTTTGCAGAGAAGAGCAAGAAATGCACTTCAACGAATAAGGGGGCGTCCTTCAACATCAAACACTTTGGAGCAGCAAATCTCTCCAGAAGTGCAATTACAATTATCTATGGCGGAAAGAGAAAATATAGCACCAGCTGAGGTGTTATACAGGACTAGACGAGATGATGCTCATCATCGAGTTTATGTTCATCGATCTGAGGAAGCCATACTTTGCGTAGGAGAAACGCAAATCGAAAGGCCCTTCATCCAGGAAGAAAGCTATGAAGAGCTACGAAGAAGTCATATGCAATACATCCATCTTGGAGTTTCATTAAGAAGAGAAAGGACCGAGTTAAGATTGAAATTGGAAGATTCGATTTTAGAGAGCAAATTTTTTGGGTTCAAAAGGCAAAAAGGTGAAATGGTTGAAGGAATGGGATATCAACTCAAACTTTTAGACGGGAAAAGAAAAAAGTTTATCAAAAAACTGGAAGTGAGCCCAAGAGTGGTTGAGGAGAAGAAGGATCAGATTGTTAGTGGAATTTTTGACTTTTGTTCTAAGCTTTATTCAAAGGAGGAGATGAATCGACCAAAGCAAACAAAAGTAAAGTTAATATAACAATAAACAAAAACATCGTTATTCAATTAGACTCGATAAAAAATAATCATAACAAACAAAATCCACATTGTTCAATCTTCAATCTTACTAAAAAAAAAAAAACTTTCAACAATTATTCACTCTTTCATCCATAGAAACAAACAAAATACACATATCTTGTACAGTTCAATCACAAGTTTCGATCCAAACTATCATCAAAATACAACGAATAAAGTTTGAAATATAGCAATTATCGAAGTTTTATGAGTCAATTGTAGAACTATCTTTTGCAATCTTGTAGGAATTTTCAACTTGGAATATTGAAGACGATATATATATATACACACACACACACACAGAGAGAGAGAGAGAGAGACTTTACCACATTGATGGTTGAAATACGAAGAGAGAAGTAATGGAAGATAAAGGACAAAGTTAACATGATTTTTATGTCATTAATCCATGATAAATAAATTTTAAAAGACTCACTTGTCCTTTCAACACTATACAATTATATCAAGGGACTTTTAACTAAATTTCCCATTTATCTCAGTCCCATCTCTACCTTAACCACACCTAATTGCAACCATTACTATCAACCATCCTAAGCATCCATATCAACCTTACCATACACCTCATTACACTTGATTAATCCCTCTCTCCCTTTCCCCAACGATGGATCCGTAAAATCAAGGACAAAACCAACAATGAAAGGGGACGAAAAGATGGATCAACCCAAGCTTTTTGTATATCAAGGACAATGGACAATGAACATTGCAGAACAAGAAAGACTACAAAAGGGGACGATGAAATCTACGACCTAGATTAAATATAGGGTGGGGGCAAATATTTTATTTTGTTGCAGTTTAATTGCCCACTGAATGCATCAGCTTCGCTTCTCTCTTACATTGAAGCTTGTGATGTGTAATAAATTGTCTTATTGGGAGAATATGAATGCCCCATTCATGAATCACTTTGGAGTGTTCGCTTTCCATCTTGTGATCTATTTGCTTCTAAGATTACATACATCCAATAAAGCATGATTTTATTACAGCTGCTTTTAAGTTTGAGGCGTCACAAGCCATAGCACACAGATCAAATACTTCCAATCAAGCATGTTTCACCTTTGATTCAATTTGTTTCATATTTAATGGATTTTACCTTTCATGTTTCACCTTCAATTGAATTGTTTCATATTTAATGGTGTTCCTTGGAAACTTGCACTGCATGGGCAGGGAGTGGGGATGGTGCTTGGAAAGGGAGGGATGAGAGATGGTGGGGTGGCTGGAATGAAGAGAAAGTGAGTGCCACTAGTGGTGCTCAGAGAGAGAAAAGAGGGCAAGAATTGCATAGACAAGATTACCCCTAATATATTGGGTAAAAGGATTAAATTATCCTTTTTCCGATCATTTAGTAAATGGAATTAAACTGATGGTTGAAATCAATACAATGTTAAAAGTTTAGGGTTTTATTTGAAAAAATTGAAAACACAATTTGATTTAATACAAGGGTCAAACCCTGAGGTTATTTATATAATTTTCATCAAAAAAAATAAAAATCAAGACACAACACAACAAGATCACAACAGAAAATAAAAATACATTTTATATGCATATATAAATTAATAATTATTTCTTCATTTTTAAATTAGAAATGTAGAATTACCTTTATATCTTATCATATAAAACTCATAAGAAACCATTTTCTACATTCTTTATTTTTTAATAGAAAAAAAAGTGTGAACAATTATTTTAGGAAACTTTATTAATAAATAAATTCATACACATTGTTTTTATTTTATCATTAAATCTTGAGTTATTTTCTTCAAATTTGCAATGTGTTTTATGTGCATCTAAGTGGCAGACACGTGTTCCCTAGATGTCCAAAACCTGTCCAATTCTAAAAATATTAAAAAATAATAAGACACATTTGGATATGCATCCCTCGACAAATATCAGTGTTTGACACGAACATGACACCTTTTTAAAAGAATGTGTGCTTCTTAGTTTGGATATTGGAGCATAATCATGTCAATCAATCAGACCATTACTAACCCTATCATTACATTGGATTCAAATTAGTTTGGACTTAGGAGCATAATCATGGCAATCAATCAGACCATTACAAACCCTACCATTACATTGGATTCAAATTGATTTTAGATCCATTAATAAATTGATCCGTTAATGCACTATTTTGCACTTGTGGGAAAATTCTTCTTATTTTTACATCTTGAAGTACTTCTTATACCTATATGCACTAATTAATCCAACATTGCTCAGATGGGATGCTTGGATCATGGATTTGAGCAGCGATTTATGCAGGAAAATGAAAAGGAAGAGGGAAAGCAACAAAAATTGAAGCTAAATTTGTCAATTTTCCCTTGCCTCTTCATTTCCCTCCACAAATTCCTGTGCAAATCCAAGATCCAAACACAACCTAAGTTCCAAATAACTTTACAGCACAATGAAAAGATAATACCATCAATAAATGTGACATTGAAGGACACATTTCATCACTGTCCCCCAAACTTTTGCATGCAAGTATATACGATAAAAAAGGATGAGGGATACTGTACCTCAACATCATATGATAGTCATCATGTTTTTCAGGTAGCAATTCATCCAATATCAATTCTTGTCGAAATGCGTCAACAGCCCGTAGCTCCTCAACATCCCGGATATCCTCTATTGACACAGAGCTAACTCGACCATCACTCTTTCTTCTGCTCTTTTTCTTGAGAGAATGTTTGAACTTGGTTGATGCACTTAATGCCTTTTTTTTCAGTGAACCGATCCTCGTCCTTCTTTCATCCTCTGAGTTTTCAAAATCAGATTTTCTTTCTCTTCTCTCATCATTACCAGAGGATCCCTCAAAGCCTGTCACATGGTAAAGTTAATGCAGATACAGGTTAAATAAGGGAGATGTCAAACCTGAATGACATACAAATTTTCCAGAATACGACATTAGATTCAAAAAAATTTAACTTCTCTTGCAATGTTTTCCCCCATTCAAGATTTAGACGTGGAATATATGATTCAAGGTTAAATATTACTAAAAAAAAAAATGACCAATCAGTTTGAACCTCCTCAAGAATGGATTTCTGGTAATAAGTCGAGTATCAATTCTGGTTCTTAAAAAAAAGCAGCATAAAAACAGCAAAACAAGAATCAGAAAATCAAATGCAAAAAGCTTCAATGGCAGGTAATAGTCAAACACAAAATAAACAGAAAATATTAACAAGGCATAATCCAGGAGATATAACATATATCAAGCCCAGAATTTGCAAAATTGTGCACTGTTAAAGATCAAAAAGTGGGAAATCATGTAATGCTGAGGCACCATTACAATCCCATCCCATAAAACAAATGAGAGTGAAGAAAAGGAAAAGAAAATCTTGCACCATGACAATCATTGTGCATAAATCACCACTATCCTAAGAAAACTGACTAAAACCCACAGCGAGATTTCATAAAAATGTCCAAAACACAGTATGTTTGGTTTAGTCTACAAAATTTGGCTCCGTTTGGTTGTGTTTTGAAAACATAATTCTATACCTACATTTGAATATCATGTTTCGTAGAAGTTTTGGAATCAATTTTCCAAAACTCTGCAGAGAACTTTGTCTCAGGCACGCTTTTCGGAATTTTTTTTTTTTGTAAATTTTACCTAACCGGTCATCCGGCCGGTTGACCGGAATAGCGATTTTTTTTTTTTTTTCTTTTACAATTGATATGTTAAATTTTATATAATCGAAAAATATATTTTCTGAATTTTTTAAAATTTTTTATGTTCTTTAAAATAATTTTGAGTTATATGTTTGGTTATGAGTTGTAAATTTTTATACCAAATATCAAATGTCACATCAACAATTCCCCAAAATTCTTTTCAAAACTCTTTATCAAACAAATTTTTCACACTCAAATCATAATTCCAAACCTCACAAACTTTAAATACAACTCATACTCTCAAATCATAATAAGAAATTTCTACCAAACGCAACCTTTGTTTTTTGAATTGTAGTTTGGAAAAATAAATAAATAAATAAAAAGCTCATCATTTTGACATGGTGTTCTCTTTTTGGGCAGAAATAATTTTTGAAAATTTAAATTAAAAAAAAAAAATTGGTTTTTCTATTTTTATTTTTATTTTTTCAAATTCAAAACTAAAAGAAATCCAAATTAAAACCAGAAATTATAAAAATAATAAAAAATGGCATCAGTTAAAACTAAAAATTTCTTTACACCTCAAGAAATTTTAATTTTTTTCTTGGGTACAAAAGTTCCGTCAAACCAAACAGAAGTAATTGAAAATATAAAATTTAAATAAATAAATAAATAAATAAATCTTGAATAAAGCTCAGCATGTAGGAGCTAATTGAACATCACAACTACTTCAACCTACAATTCGAAATTCAAGAACATATATATATATATACATATATGAGGTTCAAAGTAAAACCCTGACTAAAAGCATTGAAGTGGATCGACTAGAAAAACAGCAGAAGAGAATGCGATTAGAGAAGAGAATATAACTCACAAGGCCTCGCAAATCGATCAAGAGGACCTGACATAACTGCGTCTCTCGATTTCTGGACAATCAAGTATGAAATCTTGGAATCAACGAAGCATCCAACTGCGAAACAAACCTACATTACGATATGGAAACCCTAGAAGTCGGGTTAGAGAGATATTCGGAAAAGGAGGTGTGAAGAAAAGGCTGCGTACCTTTGAAATCACGAGGTTGATCCAACGGCAATAAATGCTTCCATCCACAGTAACGGTTCGCGGGTACGTCAAATCGCAGTAGAACGAGTAAAACTCAGATTTTATCGCAATTTAATTAGTAATTAATTATATAAATATAACTACTCGTATATATATATTTATGTATATAGAGATGTATCGCTGCTGAATTGGGCGACGGCGATGACAGAGAAAAAAAGAACGCCACAGAGAGAGAGAGAGAGGAGGGGGCTTGTTTGGTTTGTTTTTAGGAAAGTTAGTTTTGAAAAAAAATTTGGGGAGAGAGTTTAAAAAAAAAATTTAGTTTGTTTGGTTGTATATTTTGGGAGAGTTGTTTTTTTTAGAGTTTGGGATGATTTGATATTTTGAAAGAATTTGAGTATATGTGTTTGAGAGGAAAAAAATGATTGAAAATAAGAGAAGAGAGAGAAAAAATGATTGATTGATGTGTAAGAGAGAGAGAGAGTGATTTTGAAAATTTTTTTGAGAAAAACTCAAACCAAACAATTTTTTTAAAAAAAAATTTTAAAACTCATCTCCCAAATACAAGCCAAACATATTTTTTTACAATAATGTTACATTAATCAGTATATTAATAATTTATTATATAAATTATAAGTATTTAAAATTTTTAAAATTAGGTTGTGTTTTAAATTAGTAAAACGTGATTATGTTTGGAATAATTTCCAAACTATAATTCTACCCCCCACACATTTTAATATGATGTTTGGATAGGATGTTCAAACTATATTTCTACAACATTTAGAAAATTTTACAGAAAACTTTATGTGATGGGCGATTTTCAAAAAAAAAAAAAATTAAATTTGGCCTAACCGATCGTCCGACCAATTGACCGAAACAATGTAATTTTTTTTTTTTTTTTTTTGCATTGGCAATTGACGCATGTTAATTTTTATATATTCAAAAAAAATATTTTTCGAATTTTAAAAAAAAATTGTGAGCTTAATAGAATTTTGAATTGTATGTTTAGTTATGAGTTGTAAGTTTTTGTATCAAATATCACATGTCACATCAAAAATTCTTCATTCAATTCAAAAAAAATTTCAAAACTCATTCACCAAATAAATTTTCTACACTCAAATCATAATTCTAAAACTCACAAATTCAAAATATAACTCCTATTTTCAAATGATATTTAAAAAACTCGACCAAACGCAACCGTTAATTTTTTTGATTTTTTAAATTTTTTGGTAACTTTTTTAACTTAAAAAGCTAATTTTTTTGCTTAAACAAACTAATTTTTTTATGTAAAGAAATTAAAAAATTAAAAATTAGCTTTTTTTTTTTTAACAAGTTGCCAAAAAGACATCTTTGTCAAACATTATTATTCTCTATCTTAAAGAAATATTTTAAACCACTAATTAGTTGTGGATTTAATGATGTGACAATAAATTTCACCCACTGTCACAATATATTTGTAATTTTTTTTTTTTTTTTGGCAATTGACACATGTTAATTTTTATATATTCAGAAAAAATATTTTTCGAATTTAAAAAAAAAATTGTGAGCTTAATAGAATTTTGAATTATATGTTTAGTTATGAGTTGTAAGTTTTTGTATCAAATATCGCATGTCACATCAAAAATTCTTCATTCAATTCAAAAAAAATTTCAAAACTCATTCACCAAATAAATTTTTTACACTCAAATCATAATTCTAAAACTCACAAATTCAAAATATAACTCCTACTTTCAAATGATATTTAGAAAACTCGACCAAACGCAACCGTTAATTTTTTTGATTTTTTAAATTTTTTGGTAACTTTTTTAACTTAAAAAGCTAATTTTTTTGCTTAAACAAACTAATTTTTTTATGTAAAGAAATTAAAAAATTAAAAATTGGCTTTTTTTTTTTAACAAGTTGCCAAAAAGACATCTTTGTCAAACATTATTATTCTCTATCTTAGAGAAATGTTTTAAACCACTAATTAGTTGTGAATTTAATGATGTGACAGTAAATTCCATCCACTATCGCAATATATTTGTACTTTTTTTTTTAATTACCACTTCACTAATAATAAGATTAATGGTAACAAATTAATGATGTATAACATTAGTCCTCTATCTTATTGTGTTTGTGTGGTGGTGAAGGGAGGGAGGTGTGGGGTCAAGTGTGTCAGTCGGCAACACGTGGCGGGTAACGAGGGGTGTGGGACGGGAACGAGAAATTTGCCGGGTTTTTTAATTGTGCAATGACTTGGTCACCGCCGATGATGTAGCTTGTTTGGTTGGCTCTTTCAAAGAGGGTTGGCTTTTGAATTATTAGTTTTTTAATTATTTTAGTACAGAGCTAAAAAATTTCATTTGAAAAAAAAAATTTTATTTTTTTAATTTTTTATAAAAAAAGATATAATAATTATAAATTAAATATAATATTTTATTTTTTTAAACTAAAAAATCAATTTTATCTTTTTGTAATGAAAATAACTTCATACCCAATGCAACCTTTCTTCCCAAACAAAGCCTTAGGAGATCCCTGGGCGTAGAACAGTTGGTTAGGAGATTGACCTCAAGGATGCCTTATCAGCTACTTAGTATGGGTTTAATTCTCCCCCGCTGTGCAAGTCCTGACTTAAGCGGAGCTTGCCTTGGGAGGTTAGGACAAGCTTCCAGGTTATAATCTCTTACTCGGAACGGACAACAGGACACCTGGTGATCTCCTCAAGGAGGCGCTGCCTTGGACCTGTGGGAGACTGGGAGGATTTTCCTGTAACAAAAAAAAAACAAAAAAAAGCCTTAGGAGATCTAGCTCACTGTTGTGCTTCATGTATAGTGATGACTGTTGTATTATCTATAAAATTTATTTTGAATTTTATTTTAATAATTTAAACTATGTAAATTTTAAAAAATATTGAGAATAATATATTTATAAAAAATTAAATTAATCAAATATTAATAATTTGTTCATCAAATTATATCTTTATATAAAATAAATAAATATATATGTGCTAAACTGAATATAAATATGATTTACTCAAAAATTTATTGACATTCGATTAATTTAATTTTTTATAAATATCTTATTTTTAATATTTGTTAAAATTTAAACGATTTAAATTATTAAAATACGATTTAAAATAAACCCTAGAGACCGGATAACAGGGTTTTTGGCATATGTTAATTTGAAATTTTCAAAGAAAAAAGAGAAAAGAGTTTGGCCTCCCATGGTATAGATTTATAAAAATAATTTTTTAAAAAGAGATTAGTATAAAATTTTAAAATTTGCTTGTTATATATTTTGAAAATAGTTTTAGGGTGTGTTTGGTTTGTGTTTGTAGAGTAATTTTTTAGATAAAAAGTACGAAAACTTGTTTGGCTTGCCTTTTTCAGAAATGGTTTTGAAAAATTATTTTGGGGAGAGAGTTTTAAAAAAAAGTGATTGATTTGATGTGTATGAGAGAGATAGAGTGATTTTGGAAAGTAGGCAGCTAAACAAAATTTTGAGATTTTTTTTGGAAAAATATGTTTGATTTGATTACTCTTTAAAATTTGTTTGTAGAAAATTTTTTCCAACAATTTTTCTGAAAAACAAACCAAACAAGGCCTTAAAATTTCGAATGATTTTTTTTTTTTTTTTGTAATTGAATAGATAGATGTCGGAGAAAAACTGATTAATTAATGTGTAGGATGTGAGAGAGGAGAGAGAAAAAAAATAATTGATTGATGTATGTTTTAAACTTATTTTTTCAAAATTTTTCAACTAAATAAATTTTTAAAATTTTTTTTCAAAAATTAGACAACCCAAACAAGGCCTTTACTTCTTATGAATTTCCATTTTCTATCAAAACGCAAAAAACAATGTTACGGTCGAAAAATATATATTAAAATATATATATATATATATAAAATTTATCTCTGGGCCTAAGTTGAGGGGTGTAATTTAAGTTGAGGTGTGTTAGATATTAGGTAAAATGATCAATCTTATTTGTTACGTGTTGAAAAGTTGTTAAAAAAAATTTTTGATGTCAGAAAATTTGCTCAAAAGTCATCGACGAACAATGCAGTGATTTGAGCACGTAAGTGATATTGAACAAATAAGTGTTATTGAATAGATAAGTGAATAAATATATAACATTTGTACAGATAGTGAGACATTTGAACAAAAAATTGTGCAAAGAGGTGACATGTATACACATTTAAACATGAGAGATTTGGTCAAAAACCCCTCATAATAAAATTTTAATGTATTAAAAGCAATTACAAAAAGTTTTCTTTAAAAAGTCCAGCCCACACTATTATTATCAAAATATCTTTAGTGACTAATATAATATTTTAAACTTTAAAATGATATAACTTTTGATTTAGATGTCAGTTTTTAATAAAATTAATATTTTTATAATCCTCTCATCAAGTAGGATGTGAAAGAGAAGAGAGAAAAAGTGATTGATTGATGTGTGTTTTAAATTTATTTTTTCAAAATTTTTTAACTAAATAAATTTTTAAATTTTTTTTTCAAAAATTAGACAACCCAAACAAGGCCTTTACCTCTTATGAATTTCCATTTTCTATCAAAAGGAGTGTGTTAGATATTTGGTCAAATGATCAATCTTACTTGTTACGCATTGAAAAATTGTTGAAAAAATTTTTGATGTCAGAAAATTTGTCCAAAAGTCATCAACGAATAGGGCAGTGAGTTGAGCATGTAAGTGATATTGAAGAAATAAGCGATATTGAATAGATAAGCGAATAGATATATAATATTTGTACAAATAGTGAAATATTTGAACAAAAAATTACACAAAGAGGTGACATGTATACACATTTAAATAGGAAAAATTTGGTCAAAACCCCCTCATAATAAAATTTTAATGTATTCAGGACAAGTACAAAAAGTTTTCTTTAAAAATTTCAGCCTACACTATTATTATCAAAATGTCCTTAGTGACTAATATAATATTTTAAACATTAAAATGATATAACTTTTTGATCTACATATCGGTTTTTATTAAAATTAATATTTTTATAATCTTCTCATCAAGATCTATCAAACAAGATCTAGGTTGATTATGAAATTCTTTTAAAAAAATTATCGCTAAAATTAACATAAACAGTAACATTTCTTCCTTTTTTTTAGATTGGAACACTTTACTCTGTTTAAGAATAACATTTTACTAGGAATGTAATCGGTTCGATACGGTCGGTATTTGGGTAACACTGTTTCTCCTATCAAACTACACCGAACCACACCAATTGAAA